ATTTCCAGATCGGTTTTAGATATGGAGCTGAGATTTTCAGCATTTGGAGTTATAACTTAGATCTGGAGACTGAACTAAAATCAAGACATAAAGTGCTCTATTTACAGTATTATTACTCATTGTTCATGATTCGCTATTGGAACTATTTTATTTAATATTCTGAAAAAAAAATTCTATTTGACAAAAAAAAATTATTTCTTAGTAAACCACCTTAAAAGAACTATTAAGAACTTTATGAAAGAAAGTTAATCCTCCTATAGAAAATTATTTTATTTTATTTTTTAGGATTCATTTTCTAATAAAGACTAATTCTAATAAAAATCAATTACTAAACAATTTCGTTAAGCCAAAAACTTTTAACTTGAATTAAGGTGGCTCACCCCTATTAAAAATCAAAAAAAAAAATTTTTTTTTTGTTTTTGTTTTATGCTATTTCAAACATTGAAGAACAAAATCCATAATCAATTTTTACTACTATGTGCTTTTAAAGTAACAAAAAGTACAGTTTTTGTGGTCAATACACTTTCCTATTCCATAGCAACGCCATAGCAACGGTGTAAACAACTATTTCATTAACTACTTCTTAAAGATTTTCACTAAAAATTTTGAAGTATTTCTCTGTGTTAGATCTATTATGCTTTTCTACTGTTCTGCAAAGTATATCACTTTTAAAAAATGTGCTTTGTTTCATTATTCTGATGTATTTTAACTAAAACTGTCTGTCTGAATTTAACTGAAAGCTATCTAAATCTAAATATGGCAAACAAAAGAAATAAAGTTAGAAGTTTAAAGAAAAAATATCAAGGAAATAGATATTCAAGGAAAGAAAAGGATGTAGTTGATTGTAGCAGGAAATCAGAAACAACAAGTACATCAAAGCTTAAGAATAAACATAACTTTAATGGTGCAACGAATTGTGATTCTGAAGTCGACAATTTTGTCTTTATATGTAACTTTAGAGTTATTAAAAATATATTTGAACTGTATTCTACATGCAGTGAGTGTAATAGCAAGCTAACTTTTTTGCATAATAAATCTGTACGTATGGGATTTTCTATTGGAATTATAATACAATGTTCAAACTGTGGCTTTGAAAGTACATTTTATTCATCTCCAACTATAAATCAAAGTTCAAAACCTGGTTCAAACCCATATGAAATAAATTTACGAGCTGTTATGGCATTTCGTGAAATTGGACGTGGAAATGAAGCTATGTCTACTTTTACTGCTATAATGAATATGCCTCCACCTCTTACGAATCACAGTTATAATCTTACAAACAATAAATTACATAAAGTTTATGAGGAAATTAGTTCACAGAGTATGAAAGCTGCTGTATCAGAACTAAGAGAAATTTTGAATGCAAATGCTTCTGATGATGAAATTATTGACTGTGGCATATCAATAGACGGAACATGGCAACGTCGTGGATATTCTTCCCTAAATGGTGTTGTTGCTGGTCTTTCACATGAAAATAAAAAGGTGATTGATGTTTTTTCTTTATCTAAGTTTCGTATGCAGTGTGAAGTACATAAAAGAATAAACAATCCTAATGATTTTGAATGTTGGAAAGCTACACATAATTGCCAGGTTAATCATTTTAGCTCAGCAGGGTCAATGGAAGCTGCTGGAGCTCAAGAAATATTTCATTCGTCTATACAAAAGTATAATTTAATATATACTAAATACCTTGGAGACGGTGACTCAAGTTCATTTTCTAATGTTGTTAAAAGTAAACCATATAGTGATTGTATTATTGAAAAACTAGAGTGTATTGGCCATTATCAGAAAAGAGTAGGCTCTCGTTTGCGTCAAAAAATTAAAGACTTTTAAGGCAGGTTGTTAAGTGACGGCCTAAAAATATCAGGAAAAGGAAGATTAACCAATAAATCTATTAACACAATGCAGAACTTTGTTGGAATGGCTATAAGACAAAATAAAAATGATCTACTGTGTATGAGAAATTCTGTAATAGCTGTACTTTACCATTGTACAAATTTTCCTTATGAAGTTACTCGTCATCAATTTTGTTTAAAAGGAAAAAAACAGCTGGTGCAAATGGCAATCAGATAAAGTTACAGGTAAAACAAGTTATGGACAAAAAAATTAACTTACCTGTTACAATTATGGAGGAAATTAAACCTATTTTTCAAGAACTGTCAAACCCTGAAATGCTAAGAAAGTGTTTACATGGAATGACACAAAACTGCAATGAGTCATTTAATGGTTTCATATGGCAGAGATGCCATATGAAACTTTTACTGCAAGAAAAATTCTTGAAATAGCTGTTTATTCTGCTATTTTAAATTACAATGATGGATTTACTTCTTTAAGGTATATTTTTAAAATGCTTGGGTTTACTGGAGGTATTTATTTCGAAATAGGAGCTTTTAAAAAAGATAAAAAGCGACTATTAAGTATGTCAAGAAAATCTACTGACATGAATAAAAAACGAAGAAAACATTTAAGATCTATAAAAAAAGGTTATTTAGACATTGAGAAAGAGAATGAAGATGTAAACTTTTATGCTAGTGGCAGTTTTTAGTTACTTTTCACAAAAACACTTTTCTTTTTTACGTTGTTTTATTTTTAAATGTGTTTTTTAGGACTTTCTTATTTTTATACGGTTTTCTTACAAAAACATTAATATCTTCAGTTTGGTTAAAGCTTTTATCTTCAAATTTTCACAGTATGTGTATTAACTTATTTATGAGGGCTGGAACTAAAATTGTAATATTTCAAGTATAAATAAATTATTTTCAATATAGTTTGTTAGACTGACACTGGCAATTAATTAGTTTTTGCACATTTATTGCTGCCATTTTAGTTTTTTTCCACATTTGGAAAAAATTTTAGTTCCAGCCCTAAAGCAATTATTTAGCTACCATTTGGCAAAATATAGTGTAATAAGTGCAAATTTTACTCAAGATATCATTGTTTTAGATAAGGTAAGATTTTGGACAAATTATGCTGACTCAGCATCAAAAAATGCAAATTTCATTTTTATTTTGAAAAGTTAAAGTTTTAATGTAATTTCCTTATATAAAAAATTAAAAACAAGTTTAGAACCTTTATAAACAAAAAGTTAGATTTAATGGGGGTGAGCCACCTTAATAAAAAACCCTCGATTTTATTAGACGGTAAAAATAACAAAAAGTTAAATGTATATGTAAATATATATATTATTGACCACAAAATAAAATACTCTTAGTTAATTTTCTTCGTAATTTTTTTGAATGTTTACTTAAAGTATCTGCTTGGTGATATAACCTAAGGTTACAATAATAGAAGCTAATCATTTTTACTTAATTGACCAAATGATTAGATTGAACATCATTGTCAAACATAGGATCTCTATTATCAATAAAAATAGAACTGCGAACACTGTTAAGAATATTAATAATCAATTTTGTCATTATATTTTTTTGAAACATCCTCTTTTCTTCCTGAAAAATTCTAGTTTCACTTTCTGCAAGTTTACATATGTGAATTACGTCTTTAGATGGTTGAACCAGAGTTTAATACTGCTGTAATTTTTATTTGTTATTAAAGTTGAAGTTGGGGTCTTTGATTGAATTAAGATTAAACAAATTCACAATCTAAAACCTTTTTAACTTTTTTTACAACAAATCCAGCAATATATTCGACAACATCAGACACATATAACAATTATTGCTATTTTGAACATAGTCATTCCATATTCCCATAAAAGACTTCAGGCTTACTATCATCTCAATAAAGCCTGTTTTTCTCTGACTTTAATGTATAGGCCCTCCATTGTTAGCACATTTAAGACTAGATATTCTATTGACTCTTTTATTTTTTTGAAAATAGCTTCTTTATTTTGTTGTTGTAAACTAGCTTTAAAATTTTTAGCTAATAAATTCCTGCTATTTAAAATGTCAAATATGTTACTAATATTGAAGATTAATTTTTCTGTCTTCTAAATCCTTAGAGTACTGACTTTCTCTTAAATACTCTATTGCTTTTGCAATTTTTTGACTAAATGTTTGTGCAGCCAACTTGAACTTCATTTTTTTCTTGAAACCAATTTTCTTTTTGTAAGTTTTGTTGCTAAATGCAGCCCTTCCTTTTCTTGAATAGCTACTAACTTTTCAATATAATCCCATTTTATTGGCTAATTATTAGAATCAAACATTATTTTGTGCAAACCAAATTTATTTCTTATCAGTTTTAACATGTGTGGAGGATCCATTATAATGTAAACTGACTTTTTTGTAACTGGATGTGAAAAGTATGTGCAAGTAGAGTTAATAGAAAAATCAGCTCCAAGATGATTAGTCATACTAATATTAGACGAAACACCATCAAAAGTTAAACTTGTTATAGTAATTTCAACTTCGCTTAATATTTTTAAACACATTTTTACCAAGTTACTCTTTTGAATTGCTGAGATTTAAAAAGTAGCTGATTGGTAATTTCCACAAATCATTTAATTCCAATGACTCATCTCTGTCTAAAGATGCAGTTTCTGAGGTATTTGAAAAAGATGCAACATCATTTACTGTTCCAATGTTTTCATATTCATTTGTGGTTTTTCTAGTTGCTGGAGGTTTTCTAGGTTTCGCTAGCTTGACAAAACTGCTAGAAAAATCAAAAATGCTTGGTATAGCATCTTTTTTAAGTTGCTTTTTTGAACTCCAACCACAAACAATGTACGATTCTTGTGTAAAATGCTTAGAACAAATTTTTGAACACTTTGTTGGATTAAAGTTTTCTCTACGTATTGCAACAATCCATTTATTCCGAATTAATAAATCTTCTGGAAATCTACAACATAAAAATATTTCATAAATAAAAACAAAACAAATTATAATTAGTGTTTATACATAATTAACATTTTTAAACAAATACCAACTGATATTACTGTTTATTAATAACGTTATGTTACCATTTTAGCGATTCCACGGCTCAGCGAAAAACGGTTAGCAGACGATCCCATGGGTTAGCAGACGATCCCATGGCTCAAAAGGAGGTGAATAATTTCGTTTGCCGTAGAGTTTTTCCCATTGCTCAGAAGTAGGTAGGTTTTTTCGGAAGCCGTTGAGTTTATACATAAAAGTAAACAAAAATTGACACGAGGTTAAAGTAAATATTAGTATGGATCTATTTTCAGTTTTTTATGACGACAATTTAAGCCTGAACAGTTCTGAAGAAAGCACTGAGGAAAGTGGAATTCTACAAGGTTATTTATTCTGTATGGATTAATTTGTTAAAAGTTGCGTCAAGATTATAATTAGTGATTTAAATCCGTCACAATACAATAATTTGTGAGGAATTTAAATACCTCAATTCAAAGATTATAATACATCGCAGCAAGTTTATTCAATCAAAAATAACTAAAATAAAAATATTCAAGTTTGAAAAGAAAAATTTGAATACAACTCTAGATTAGAATTAAATTTTTACTTTAGAAATTGTTGAAGAGGATGGGAAAATCACAGATATTGACTTTTTGCCAGTAAATTGCATTGATAATGGTTTGTTTCTAATTTACTAAATAAGTATAAGAAAATTAGGATTTTGTTTAATTTTTTAATCTTTTAAAGTGTTTATTATAAAAACAAAATTTTATTAAGGTTTACCCTTTTTTTTTTCAAGAATATGTTATACTGTCGTCATTGTGATTTCAAAACTGTTGTTAAATCTATTTGTAAACATTTGTTATAGGAGACAAAACCAAACTTGTTTATCATTGTAAATCACACGAAGAAGCATTGCATTGTATCAAAAAATATGAATTAAGAACAACAACACGATTTGTGGTGTATTATGCTAATAAAAATTTTGGTAACACAGGTTAGCTGATTGCCAAGTGTTCTTACTTTTTGAATTCTTTGCAGGATTTTCAAATAATTTTTTGCATTAAGTTACTAACTCAATATTTTTTATTTTAGATACAATTACATCGAATCATAGTGTACTTTGGGAAGATTCTGCTATTCCTTATTCAGGAATACCTTATATTGTTATTTCAAATAAAGTTTTAGATTGTCACCATGGGTTTGACAGAAATGTTAAAAAAAATGATTACAAAAAAAATAAAAAAAGACATGATGTAACTAAAAATATCTTTAATTTTTGCTACAACTTTATTCTTGAGTTTTGATTTATATCATTCTTTTATTCTTAACACTTTAAAATATAAGTTTATAAGTAAAATCTCTGGATTTAAAATTTAATTGTAGATGGATGATCATTGCTTTCAAAAAAACTATTTAATTTTACAAGATAGTAAAAAGTTTATGTGTCCTGCCAAAATAGCTATGAAGGAAATAATTCACTTTCCTGATTTTAAGGTATAAATATTTTATCAAAAATAATTTTTCAAAGGTTAAAGAAGTAAAGTATAAATTTTCAAACAGTTGTTAAACATAGTTTCATTTATACATTTAGATATCAGAAAAAACTGAGTGGCGCAAAAAAAACGCATCAAAACTTTTGAGACAAAAAATAAAAACTTCACCATTAAATGAAATCCAACATACAAGAACAATTGTAGTTTCCATTGATGATTTGTCCTGTCATGATAAACATCCTGTTGGACAGGTTAATATTGATATACAGTTGCAAAAAATTAATAAATTAAATTATGAAAAAAGAATTGTATCTGTTTTATGGTTTTATATTTTATTGTAAAATTTATTTAGGCTGACTTGATTTCTCAAATGATTGATCCTCAAATTTCTAAAAAAATAGAAGAATATGTTAAAGAAGGAATATGCAACATTAGAGAAATGAAACGTCTTCTTCAACTATTTGTTAAGGATATATTTGAAAAAGAAAATCTTCCTCCTCCAAATAATAGAAGATTTTATCCATGTGTTAATATTATAAGATCACATATAGTTAAAATGAAGCAAAAGTTGAGGTAAATTTTATATTATTCTAACTTGATGTAACCAAGAAACCATTAGCATTGCTAAAAATCCCTGTTGCAGTCAGTATTCCTTCAACTGCCTCCTTTATAAGAACAACAATGTATAATCTACCAGATTGTATGTATATCCACCAGTTCGTAATTTCCCTCATTTGCTTGTCCTCCACCTGCATATTGGTAAATTTTCAGCTTTCATAATTCATGTTTCACTACCAAATATCATAACAAACTTTACCACATCTTCCATGATACTGGATATTTTGTTGCTAAGTTAAAACAGAGTTAACAAAAGTAGATCGGAATAATGTCTTAATACTTACACTTATGTTTTATATATATAGTTTAGTGCTAATTTGTTATACTTTAATTTTAAAGATATTCCATGATTGATCAAGAATGTCTTTTGAAAAAGTGTCATGAATGGAAAAAAATTGATCCACATATTAAAGTGTTAATTCGACCAAAATGTGAAGTTACAGACAATGAAATTTGTAAAAACAATTCTACATTTTTATTTGTTTATCAATCACAGTGGCAACAAGACCTTCTTTTGCGATACGGAAATGAGATCATTCTTCTTGATGCTACTTACAGAACTACAAGATATGCTCTTCCATTATTCTTTTTAACAGTAAAGACTAACATAGATTACCAAATAGTAGCCACTTTTGTCACTGAAAATGAAACAAAAAAAGCTATTACTGAAGCACTAAATGTTATAAAGAGTTGGAATGCATTGTTTCAGCCTTCGTTTTGTATGACAGATTATTGCAACGAAGAAATCGAGTCATTAGAAACTGTTTTTCCAGGTGAATGATAACTGCATTTTCAAAATCATCTTTTATTTTAAATACTAATATAATTAATATAATTTAAAAACAGATTTTTAAAAATTGGTTAGTGTGTCCCTTAGATTTGCAATGCTTCATATAAAGTATATACATATAAAACATAAACGTTACTATATTTAAAATTTTTTAAAAATATATAAAAAAAAATAGTTTAGAGTTTCCTAATTTATCTATTCCTAAAGGTTGTCGTGTCATTATATGCGATTTCCACAGAGAGCAGGCCTGGGATCGATGGCTTTCCAAATTAACAAATGGGTGTTCTGATTATAAAGGTAACATAATATCAATGTTACGACGTATTGCAAGAGCGCAAAATCAGGATGAGGAAGATGCAGCTATTGAGAAGCTGCAGTCCTCCAATTTTTGGTTCGATGACAAGTTTCATAAATTTAAGAAGTACATAACAAATTATTGGTTGTGCAACAAAGAAGTAAGTTTTTTTTTTCTACATAGTTCCCATGATTTCCTAATTGTTATAATAGATATAAAACAGTTGCATCAACTTTTAAGAAATTTATTAAAAACATTTAAAAAATTTTTAAAGCTTCATACGGTAGTACTCTTTATCTTTTCCTTATAAAACTAAGTTTTACAGAAAGCGTTTACAAAATTAGGAATAAAGTTTAGAAGAGTGTATAACCTTTTTTAATTTTAACATTAATGTAGCTCTGTTTGCTCAGGGTTGAAGTTGATATAAATATTTTATAAATGAGAAACTTTTTTCTTTTTTTTTCTAATTAAGAAATGGATATGGGCCTATCGTCAGGATCGTTTATTAGTTAATCTAAATACCAACAATGGTCTTGAAAGACAAAATGAATCTTTTAAGTATTCTTATCTTCAACGCCACAAAAACTCATCTCTTACTGGAATGCTAACCTTATTAATTGAAGAGTTTTTTGCTGATAAATTTGAACAGTAAGTATATACTTTTCTAATACTCTGTATATTAACCCAAACATTTTTTTTTTATCATTCTCTTTAATACGAGCACAACATGTCACGGAGGTTTGGGATCCCTTTAATGTAAAAATGTGCACTTGTAATTTTTAAAAAAAGAGGAAAAAAAGGAATAATGAAAGAAAAGATTGCTGCCCCATAAAGCCCTCACAACTTCCTGTTTTTGTATGACATCATCCATGTGCGTCTAATGCTGCATTTATTTATGTATGTATATATATATATTTATATATATTAGGGCCCTGCGATTCACCTTTTATGGTATCGAATCGAATCACGAATCGAAGCAGGTATCGATTCGCAAATCGAATCGAATCTCAAATCAAGTCAGCCCTTTGAGGATACCTATGTTTTAGTTAAACTTATATATATATATATATATATATATATATATATATATATATATATATATATATATATATATATATATATATATATATATATATATATATATATATATATATATATATATATATATATATATATATATATATATACAGTGTGCCAAAAAAAAAATGCAGCAAACAATTTCTCTTCAAATTTTTAATTTTTGGATCACATTGTAATATAAAAAAACATAACGGGATAAAACTGGGTGTAATAAAAATCCCGTTATGTTTAGGAAACAAATGATTGGTGTGGGTAATTTTAATTGTTGTTGAACATTTTAAAGTTAGTAGCTTTCGTATATAGTCGCAAAAAAATAATTGCAGCGTAGTATAAAAACGTAAGTTTATTTACTTTTTTTTAAAGTTTGGTGATCTCTTACATTGTAATTTATTTAAAAATAGATAAAAAATACAAAATTAAATAAAAGTTACTCATTTTTTCTGATTTTTAATCATTTTATAAAAAGATAGCAAAGGGAGATCGACACTGGACTGTAGCCCAACGTAATTTAGCTGTGGACCTAATAAAACAAGGTAAGACATATCGTGAGGTTGAGGCAGAGACTGGCATTCCCAACTGCACTGTTTCCAGAATAATGGGGAGATACAAAAAGTATGGAACTACAGCTTCTTTGGAAGGACGAGGTAGAAAAAGAAAGACAAATACTTCCATTGACCATAATATCGTAATACAAATCAAAAAGAATCGAAAATGAGCAAAACATAAAGATCACTCCTCAAACAATACCTAACAGGATAAAGGAAGCTGGTTTCCAAGGAAGACATGTTCGTAAAAAGCCATATTTGACGAAGAATCATATGAAACACCAATTGGATTTTGCTAAAAAGTACAGAAACATGGATATTAATTTCTGGAAAAAGATTTTATGGAATGATGAATTTAAATTCAATCTGAAGTCATCTGATGGAGCTAAAAAAGTTTGGCGCAAGAAAGGAGAGGCGTATAAATTGAGCTGTATGAAAGGCACAGTAAAGTTTGGCGGTGGCAATATTATGGTTTGGAGATCGATGGTTTGGAAAGGAGTTGGAAAACTGGCATTTATTGACTCAAAAATGGATGCTCTATTATACAGAGAGATTCTCAAAAATTATCTCAAGTCTTCAGCCCGAAAATTGCGACTATGCAATAGTTATATTTTCCAGCAAGACAACGACCGCTAAAGATAAAACGAAATGGTTCACTGATAATAGTGTGGAAGTCCTTGAATGGCCCGCACAAAGCCCGGACTTAAACCCCATCGAATATTTTTGGGCTATTCTGGACTGAAAAATTGGAGATCGGTCACTCAGAAAGAAAGAGGAGCTTAAAGAGGCTGTGACAGCGGCATGGGCGAAAATTATGCCAGAAGAAACAAAATGTTTGGTTGAATCAATGCCAAGACGATGTGAAGCTGTTATCCAGGCTAAAGATGGACCCACCAAATACTAAAATGTGATTTATTAATACTAAAATGTGATTTATAATTAAGTTCCTTCAGAAAAAAAATTTGCTGCAATTTTTATATTGCACTTTGAAGCAAAGTCAATTTACAATTATTAAAAATTTAAAAAAATGTGATCATGGAATTTATAAAATGGAAATAAAATATTGAACTAAATTTATTTCTTCTTTATTTAAAGTATTTTTCTCCCAAAAAAAGTATTTATTACTATTTTATTTAACATGTATACATATATACAGTAGTGCTCAAAAGTTTAGCAAGCAGCAGAATTAAATTTACTTTTTTTCATATATGTTATTTTTTCAGTTAATAAAACTTTGAAAAAAAGTTTTCTTCTATTTATCAAATAACTGGATACCGTAAAAACCCCTAATTCCGGATGGTTTAGGACTAATATTGTCATAACTAGCTCAATATAAAGAATTTTGAAATAATTTTTTTAAATAAATAAACTTCATAACAAGACAAATCGAACGATATAAAAAATATTATTTTTGCGATATAAATCTATCTTTTATTTTATTTTTAAAAAATATTGTTTTTATCCGGAATTAGGTGTTTATGTCCCTAATTCCGGATGCGTATAGAATACAGAAAAACACATACACAAATAATACTAACATTAAAACAATTATTTTAATGTTAGTATTATTTGTGTTATTTAAATGAAATCATTTAATAAAAAAAGAATATATATTATTTTACACACATTCGTTACAAATAAACTCCATGGCTGGACGATAATCAAAGACACATTCAATGCATGACCAATTTGAACACTGCTCACACGCAAGCCATTGGTTATCTAAGTTATTTGTCCAATTAATTTCGCAAGAATAACATAGAAGATTATCAGATACTAAAATGTTATTTGAAGCTTGAGGAAAATGAGGGTCTTCTAATCCATTTTTTGTCTTTATACCTTTTTTACCTGGTATTTTAGACGACTGACTTTGTCTCAACTTTTTTTTTTCTTCTCTTTTCTGTGCATTTTTCGCTTTTTGAGTAGCAGTGGAAATCTTTTTTTGTTCTCTAGTAAATTTCTTTGCAGCTTGTTCATCTAATTTTTGCTTTTTTAATGCTTGTTCAGCTTCATCGTAAGCTATGGCATCCGCCGAAGTCATATTATAATTAGCTGGTCGCTTTATTCTCTCACTTTTTTGAACTCTTTTATTTAGAGTTGGTGTCAATTGATCTCGAAGCATATTTAACACTGATTTGTTTATATCTTTGCCCACTTGTTGAACAGCGTTATTCAAAGTAGCAAAGCTTTTAAGCAAAAATTCAAGATTTGACATTCTTGACGGTGTGTTAGGTGTATTGGTAATATTTCCCATAACTAATGGACTAGATACTGTTGAAGAATCAAATAAATATTCAATATTGTTGTTTTCGACAGCTTGAAACACAGCACCAATGGAAGTTTTTTTTGAAGAAATTTGCGAACGATCGAGTGGAAATATACCAGTATTTTTGAAACCACTCCGTGCATTTTCAGGTTTAAACCCACCATTTTTGATGAGATCCTTAAACATGGCCAGAAAATGTCGATTAGTCAGGCTTTGAAAGTGATTTTTAGTCAAATAACTTTTGACAATTCTCTTCCATGCGCCTTTTACTGTTTTAAAAACGCCAACATCTAGTGGCTGTAAAAAATGGCTGGTATGAGCCGGCAAACGCCAAAGTAAAATATAATTTTCTAAAGCTTTTTTTTTCAACTCTAAGCTCATATGTGAAGCATGGCCATCAAGTATTAGAACTTCAAATCCTGAAAGTTTGTTTGCGTGAGGCAAAAAAACTGTTTCAAACCACGACAAAAAATGTTCGGATTCCATCCAGCCTGAACTACTACTGTTATAATAAACATTCTGGGCACCGCCTTTGCACTAGTCTTTCATAACATGTTTGCCTTTATAAATTATTTGATGAGGTAAATAATTACCGAATGCGTCACAACAAGTCAAGATTGTCGTCATTTGCTTTTCATTCGATGGTGCTAGCTTTTTAGGGTTTTTTGTTCCTTTTCTACAAATAATTTTGACTTTGCCTTGATCAAATTGCAAACCAGATTCATCACAGTTAAATATTTGAAACGGCTTATCGCCTAAATTATGTACATTATATGCTACTGCTAATTGCTCAAACCAATTGTCAATTATACCTGGTTGTGTGGCCACAGCTCTAATAGTTTGCATACCGCTTACTTTCCTTGGGCAAATTTCTTTACGATATTTATTCATGAAACCGGAGTACCATTTTCTAGTCGGTTTGCCGTCTTTGAATAGACTACGTTGGTTTGATTCTTTTAAATAGTTTTCAACAACAATAAACACGTCTTTTCTATTCAAGCCGAAACCTATATCACTCATAAATTTTAATAAATCAACAATAATAGCTTCAGTGATGTTGCTCATCTTTCTTGGCGCTCCTCGATTATTAGATGATCCTTTTGTTCTGTCAAAAAGTGTAGATTTTGCCACATAACACTTAGCAGCTTGTACGTATGACATTTTTTTTTCAGTAATAGCTTGAATAGCTAGCTGGATTCGACTCTCTCGCTCTTCTTTTTGTTTAAAATTATCCATATTCTTTTATACAGTAATACAATTAACACAAATGCGTTAACTTTATGGATGCTAAAAAAAATAGCTTTATCTCAATTATTTTTCCCTTGTGGCTATTTTATTTCTTATTATTTTAAGGTGGTAGTATGGTCAAAATACTAAAATCATTTTTTTTAACCAAACAGTATTGATTTCATAAAATATTAAAAGACTGCATAAAAACATAAAATTCAAAAAAAAAAAAAATTTTACTTTTGGACCCAGGTTTTGGGTTGTGAAACCTAAAACAGTCAATAGGTGCTGCGATAAATATTGAGACAATGGTAGATGCTATAAAACTCAAACTTTCAGTGTTTACTTGTATTATATTAAAGAACTCATGGAAGCAGAATTATAAAGTAAGCTTAAAGCACTAAGGAGATACAGCATATACAACTAACGGGTCAAATTTTACCCCCAAACAGCCCCCTTTAAAAGTCCATAACTCTGTCAAAATATAATATCAAAAAAATATACTGCTCCAATGAGTTTATCATATATATTATTACAACTGAACAAAATTTTAAAGAACCATAACAAGTAGTTCCCAAGTTATTTATCGCACCGTGCTAAAAAATGTTGTTCTGAGAAAACAGCAATTTAAAAAAATTAACATTGAAAAAAACAAATTAAAATATAAAATAAGCTCTCATTTTAATCTTAAAGATTTCTAATCACTCTTCAATGTATTAACTAACAACAATATTAATAAACTAAGTTTATAATGAGTTTTAACTAATTTTTTAAGTACAATAAAGTAGTATCCATGTTAAAAAAAATATAAAAACTTCGAACTAAAAAAAAAAAAAATTATGATAATCAAATTTAAATTTTTAAAATAAGTAGTTATATCAATTGAAATATAACAAAACCACTCAAAACTGCCAGAGCTTTAAGCTACTTCTTTACTTTCTTCATATTGATCACTAAAATCTTTTTATTTTGCCCTTATTTGTTTCTGACATTGCTTTACCTCATCAGTCAAATTTTTTTTAGCAATATTTTTAACTATTTGACAATCTCTTTGTTTGCAAAATGTAATACAGTTTTTGTTAGGATTTATACCAAGCTCTAAATAAACATTTAACAAACCAGTTAATCATTTATTGAATTTAATAACAGCTGATGCTGCACCTTTCTCTAAAGCAATTTGCCCCACACAAACATTTTTGGACTTCGATTCAAATTTATTGCATTTAAGGCTTCATTATTGTTTCGAGTTTTTCCATGAAGGCACTTTTTAACAAGCTTTTATCTGATAATCTATGAATACTGGTTATGTCCCTAATAACAATAGGCAGTCCAGGTTTTTCTTTATTAACATATGTTTTATCAAATTTATATCCTTTATATTTGTAATTAGTTTGAGGACACATAGCATGTATACATCAGAAGATAATGGCTCAGAGTAGTTAAATAATACAGCTTCAATAGCTTTTATTAGTTTATTAACAGATTTCCCACAACATTGACAAATCACAATTCCAAAATAATTTTGTAACATCGCAACTACTGAATGTTATTATATATCAAAAAACTTTTCAGAAGTTTTACTTGCAACTTTTTTACTAATATACAATTTTGTTTACCATAAAAGTTTAATGCAACTCAATAGCAACAAAGAACTTAAACCTTTTTTCTTTTTATAATCTATATTAATATTGATTGAATTGCTCTCAGTCAGGGCATGTTCCAACTAAAGTAAGAGTTTGTACAATTATATTAAGATCAATTAAAACAAAATTAGACTCCTTTCTTCTTACTTTGAAATAGTTTACTTTAGGTTCATTACTGGCAATAACATTGCTGGTTGATGTTGTAAAGTTAAGTAAA